AATATTCTTTGTTTTTAATCAATTTCTTTCTTAACTGGAGCCTTTGCTAACTGAGGTTCTACTGTAAATGTGCTTTTGGGGGTGTCCTGAATAGCCCTGGGAGGGTGTCCCGAGTAGCTCCGCCGTGCAGAAATAACCGCCATTTTTTTAATGAGATAGGCAAAATCTGTCAATTCTGTTTTCAAGCCGACACCTGGGTGCAACTTTTATGTAAGTAAAATTTTTTAATACGGTGAATATTTTTTTACTACAGACCTTAGCAGAAGTAACTTTTCAAAATATTGTTTTTCACCATTTTTTTCAGGAATTTTTCAAATCTAGTGAATGTAGTATTTTTGAACTTCCTTTATACTACATAGATAGGAAAAAGGTTGACGTTTATGCCACTATATTTAGTTTTGCAATATTCCAATTAGTTTTGCTACTAAAACAGTTTTACGTCATGTTGGAGGACTGTCCCGAGTTACTCCGCCCGTCCTGAGTAGCCCCGGTTGACAGTAAATAAAAAAAAATAGTGAAAAATTCGAAAAATCATTGATTTTTGATTTTGTTGATTTAATAAAAAATCACCAACCCTGATTTATATGGTATAACACAATCTGATTACCTACTCTTTTATGCTTGTATTATAACACATACAGAGGAAGCAATCAAGATGAACAAAATTATAGGTATATTTACTATTTTATGGCAAGATATTTCCAGACCATCTTTATAATGACATCCATGCTGCATGTAAAGAGTCGCATTCATATACAACATATATCTAAAACTCTTGAAAAAATTATCAGTAAGAATTGGCATTTATGAAGGAAGTGTTATTGTGCAATTTGTTATTGGAAGTGTTATTGTCTGTGCAGAGACAATCTTGCTTGCAGCCGCGTTGTCTCTTATGTTCTGCAGCAAAGGAAATTTGCCAAGAGCTTGGACTGCAGTCAAAGCCTGGGAAATCATCAAGTGGTAAACTATAAGTACCGTACCTTAGTCTGAAAAACATGACTTAAATCATAGTATGGCTAACCACTAAGGGCAAACAAACATATTTACCAAGTGCTGTAGAAATTTACCTCTAGCAGGCATATGTCCAAACAGTCACTTCTATCTCTAAGCATTTGCGGATGTATGCACATATATGATCTCACTATTTTTTGCCATCTTATATCACTATCTTGCATTTGCTTCAAGTAAATAGCATCATAATCAGTCAATAAAACAAGTTTTTAACTATTTTCTTAACAGTTCTTTGTGGGCTAGAGCTGCTAAAGTGAATATGATCAGGGCCCAAAATGTCGTTTTTGCCATTTCTCCAGAGTACTTAGTTTTTTAGTCAGCTCACACAGAGGCAAGAGCATGCCAGAGTGCTACGTCTTTTCATGACATAACTCATACACAATCTGTGATTGGTTTGAGCATGTTTGTGAGCTGCCCAAGGCAATGTGGGTGATGTGGGGGGCCTTTTTTTACTCCCATTTTAATTACCACATTTGGTAACTTACCCACAAAGGGGTTGATAGTGGCAACTGAACACATGATGCAGTCTGACTGCTCTGACATGACTGCAACTATGCAATCTTCAACAAAACGTTTTTGGGATGACTAATTATTGTTATGTTCTGCTGTATATTTTGGCAGGAGTGTTAAAGTACTGTGGATTGCAGAAGTTGAAAATTTTATGAATAACATGTTTGCTAAATGCAAACCACAATTTTTCAATAAAACAAAAATACATGACACTAGAGCCACCAGATTTCATACGTACTGAAAGTATATGATATGATTAGGAATAGGAATAAATTATAAATAAGATAAGAATAGGGATTGATGCCGAGAAGCAAATTTTGAATTAGGGGGGAGGAGCTCGAGCCGTCTAGGAGACGGGGGGGAAACCTCGCCCAGAGCGCATCGTCAAGAGCTGAGATTGACCAGTCTCGCAGGCGGAGATTTAATGGATTTGCCAAGGGATTTCCTCTTCCTAATCGGTGATGTACCCATGTTAAATTGATAAAATCTATAGCGTTCTCGTGTAGCCACCTTTGTTCAGTTCTCGTGGTATTAGTTTCAATTTACAATTCCGGGCCTGTTAGTAATTAGGTTTGAGGTTGTTGTCTCATGCCCAGATCAGCATAGGATAGGATTGATTCTTCGGCAAGGAAGCCTTTGTACTCGTCATTCTCACCGTTCCTAGCTCTGTAACTAGGCGTAGGGTATTTTCTTTTCTAGTGTAGGAAGTTTGATTAATGTTTGTGTCATTCTCCTTGTTAAATCGCATTGCCAGCAGTAGAGAACCTTCAACTCGCCTCGTTCGACCACTCGGACAATGTAAAGTACAACCAACCTGACAGTTTAAAATGTTTTATGAAAAAGATACTCTGCCGAGGATAAACTAAAAATTGATAGCTTGCCGTAGGCTTTAAAGCGTACAGTCCAAGAAATAGTGAGAGCTAATATCGAACTCAAATCAAAGTTCAACACATAAATTATATGCGATTAGGAATAAAAGGATTTTCCTATTATAATCAGATATTAGAGCCACAATGTTTCAGAAAAAAGGTAGGACTTTTCCCAACTTGTTTTTCCTGAAATTGGGTAGAAGTCACCTTGCACTAGACAGAAATGCCTGTGCTTTCAGTTAGAATGAATTTTACCCAGTTTGGCCTTGCCTCTTTATTTTTTCAAAAACCAGACACATGGAGTCAAATGGGGGCAAAGGAGAACATTTTTTGTTCCACTTCCTCAAGTTCATTTTTGACTCCTATAAGTAGACTAGTAAGTACAAGTATCTTGCATACTACTAGCATTATCATATATAAGAAATTTATTAAAATATTGAGTAGATGAGATAATTAAAAATGAACTCTTTCTAAATAATCTCTGGTTTACCACTATGCAGAGGCACATATATTTAGCACATTTTCTCATTTATAGCAAAAAAGGCACTATTGTGCTCATCCATGTTTGTCCGTCTGTGTCTTCACGTTTATGCACTCTCTGAGAAAATGTGCTCTTTCACTCACTGCAGTGAGTGAGTACTGATCTAATTTTTTATAACTGAAATCTTGCATATCTAAGCAGAAAGTTGAGCTGAAGCCACCAATGACTTAGACAAAAATGCCCATGAATTTGGACAATTTCACCTGTTCCTTTAAACTTTTTCTAATTTCTTGAAGGGGAGCGTCTGGGGTAAAATTCATCTTGGCTATTAACAGATGGATCACTCTGAAACTTAGTACACATATGTAAAATGGAAATCTAAGACTTTTTTGTTCATGTGAATTTTTTGAAAAAAATTAAAGAAAACATGAAATTCTTAGAAAACGGCCAAAAAAGGGAGACCGTAGAAATCTATCTCCTCCTAGGATTTTCAAGGTACAACATTGAGACACATATCATTCAATGCATAAAGACAAAATATAAAAAGTTACGTGGCGGTTTTTTGGATTTCTCATTTTTGTGGGTGTGGGAGCATTTTTTCCGATATTTTTTTCAATTTTTCGATTTTACCCCCACCCTCCCCCACTTTTTGCAAAATAAAATCTGAACTTTAACAAAATTGGAAAAACTTTTACAAAACTTTCCGTTCCAAATTGAATGGTATATGTCTTATTGCTGTAGCTTCCAAACTGTAGAAGGAGATAGGATTGCCATGAGAGAGGTTTTCAGCTTTGGCAACTTTTCAGTAGAGGCAAAAACTGCCGTACTGCATGTAAAGGCACGTAACGTAGCCTAGATACCGAAAGTAAGCATCAACTCACTTCAAAGTCAGTCATTGGTGCATAGAGCCACTAAATGAACACCATCCCGCATGCTGTCTGTGAGGTTACTGAGCTCTAGCCGAGTGGAGAGAACATTTTACAGTTAACTTCCCCCTTTGGAATTACTGAAGGCTCCTACCCCTTCCCCCGTTGAGGGGTCTGTTGTGAATGCAAAAATCAACCTACAGACTACAGAGACTGTTCTAGTACTGTTTGATGCAGCAGAAAGTAAGCTTTAAGATGAGTATAAGAACTGGAGAATGTCATAATTGGCCGCTTCACGTCAGACAATCCTCTTTATGTTGCCCGGCCGGGTATTTTCCGCCCTAACTTTACTAAAGGGGCCCTGACACCTCCTCCCCTTACGGGACCTGTCGCAAATGCATAAATCAATGTACAGAGATGGTTCTAGTACCGTTCGATGCATCAGAAAGTAAGCTTTAAGATGAGCCTAAAAACCGGAAAAGCCGAAATTTTGACCTTTGGACCCAGACGCTCCCCTTAAGGAATAATAAGACAGATGGCTTATATTTACCAGCAAAGTTCAAAAATCACCTGTAAAATTATGGTTTTTAGCTATAATTTGAAGAAAATTCTGTCCAATATTTTAAATTGTTTGTTGATTTATTATCATATTGTGCACTATAGTTGTTTTGTTAACAATTAGATAGGCAATAATTTATCTGGTTGGCCTAAGTTGGAATCTGATGCTTAGTAGCTGGTGTGAAAAATATCTACTATCCAAGCCATGACTGTGATTTTTTAGCTGTAAATTTTTAAGCCATGAGTAAGCAGTCGATTTTTTTTTAAGCAGTATATCCCTCTTCCAGGCTGTGGAAAGCCATTTTCAAGCCACAAACTCATTTGCCAAACAGCAGGTTCATTTGCCATGCTGTGCACACCTGCAAAAAGTTTTTGGAACTGATGATGGAGCTGGTCTTCTAAATGTTTCCATTGAAGATATTTTAAAATACTGTTAATTGACTTGGTGTTTTCTTTACTTTAAAATGATTGCTAATTTAGAGTTCAGATAAAATCATAATTTATCAATAGTAATTTATTATAAATGAGCATCTCCAGTTGATTTATATAAACATGTTTCTGAACTTCTTTCTTCATTTTAATTGATTTGCATTTCTTCCTTGATCTTACAATACTGTACGCAGATTGGTAATGACTATTCTGGACTTCTGGGCAAAATTGATTGTGGCAGAGCTCAAATTATACTGGAATATTTTTTTAATTGAAAATAAACTGGATTTTTTACCTTTTTTATTTTGCAGGTATGATGTGTGTAAGAATAGGAAAAGTGAGTTGTATGCTATGGTGGCTAGTGCTGGTGACAGTCACTTGCTGCCAGGCAATCATGTTCCCACTGCAGCCTGGAGCTGTCAAGTGCCTCAAGGAAGAGATTCATAAAGACGTCCTGGTTTCTGGTGCTTACAACATCATGGATGCTCCTGGCCAAACTGTTGATCTCAAAGTAATTATGAGACTTATCCTGTTATGGCATGCCAAACTCTTTTTTAATTTAGTGGATTTTTATTCAAACTAGTTTCTATTGAAGTTTAATTGATTGAAAGAAAATTTTCTTTATTTTATCATCACACCTAAAAGTTTAGATATTGGATTTTTTTTAGTTCAGAATAATTATGGGACTATCTTAATTTTTTGACATGAGAATCATATTCTTGTGTCTTAATAATTTGAAATTTTTAAATTGGTAACCCAGAAAACTACAATTTTATTGCCTTTCCTGTTCAGACATTCTTGTTCAGCTAGTAATCCATTGCTCTAGCTAGATATTTGTTGCCTTGTTTTGTTTACCTGTGGATTTGAAGCATTTCTTTGTTGAAAAGCACTCATCTGTTTAATAAGTTTTTATAGTTTATACTTGCTGTATTCAAAAATTTTTTCAATGAAATAAAAAGCAAGTATATATATTTTGTTTACTCCAGCACCTTCAAGTGAAGTAATGGTTATTCAAAGTTCTTCAGTGTAAGCAAGCAATTGACCATTGCAGACTGACCACCTTATTCAATTTTATTGTTTTGGCTGCTAAGTCAATGATTCAATTGCAACCTATTGATAGGATGCTCATGTTGTTATTACCCAATTGAGCTTTGTTGAAGATAACTTCTAACTGTTTGAGACAGTGAAAATTTTAGGGGGTGACATATTTTATTATTATTACAATTTTCTTTATTAAGTAGTCTAGCTTCATAGAGGACAACTGAAAACTGTTCACTACTTATATTGAAAATTATGGTGGATAATAGGTAATTATAATTTTCTGACTAAGTGGATAGTAGTTTAACAATGCCTTTGAAATATTTTTTTCCTTTTATTTTCTTGATCATTAAGATACAAAGCTAAGACTTTCATTCCTACAGGTCACTGACAGCAAAGGACACATCCTCTTCAGCAAAGATGAGGCAGACTCTGGAAAATTTGCTTTCAACACTGAAGATTATGATGTGTTTGAAATTTGTTTCCTGTCGCACATTCCACAAGGTTATAAATATTAAATTCTGTTTATTTTTCTAAATGCAATTCATGTGAAGAATAATGGTTTGCTGTATCAATAGTTCTGAAAAATCAATTGTGAAAAATACCTAATTGATGACAGCAGATGATTCCTCAATCATAACTATTGTAGTAGTACTATAGAAGAACAATAATTGAAAATCATGCAAGGGTTACTAATTTTTTCCAGGTTTGCCTTTAATTTTCAATTCATTTAACATTATTAGTTTGCTGCTTTAAAAAGTGATTTTAGCCACATTACGTAGTTCTACTACAGCTCAATGCTAGTCTATGTCAACAGTAGCACAGTTCATTCCTGAAATTACTCGTACACACTTATAACCACTTGTGTGTAAGTGCCTTCATAGGAGTAAGTTAATTCTATTTCATCAT